AGAGAACCAATGGAGGGATGCGCGGGGGAGGTTATGACGGATATGGATTGGAGCGAGTCTGGGAGGGTTTTGGGGTTTGAGGGGTGGAGGATTGGGGAGGTAAAGACGCTATCATGGGGGATGTGAGTTAGTTAAAGTTCTTTTAATTTGGCGGGCATGTACGGAGGAACTCACGGCCATCTCAACTCAGAGATTTTAGCTAGCGCGTCTACAGCCTCATATTGGTCTGGCCAATGGCGGTCCACTGGGTAGCTACCTGGTCGAGGGTGGGTGTGACCAGGGGTAAATTTAAGTATAAAGTCACCGAACCACTAGAAAAATACAGTCAGCCTTATCGCAGTCCACGTATCGGAAGAGCGTTGATATCCAAATCCTCGGAACATACCTTCGGCTCGGCATCCCGATCAAATATGAATGCATGGAACAATTGGGCAAAGGAAACTGGCATCAACAGCCAGCTCCCAAACCACCACGGCCGGTCTTTGAACCATCCTTGGGCGTCTAGTTCATTAAACAAAAATTCCAAGCTCCGGGTTGACATGTAAATTGCCAGTGTGAGACGAAGTTGGCTCTGCGGGAAAGCACCCAGGGCAAACCCCGCTAAACTAGAACCAATTGCGGGCGCATATTTCGATGTCAAGGCGCGAGAAATTCGAGGGTTACGCTCACGAAATGGACGTGCATCGTCCGTCCGCAGGTTTGCGCGCAATCTGAGAAAAAATCGGCGCAAAAGACGGTGTAAGAGGAGAGTTAAGGATAGAGCAGCTGAAAGTCGAAATACGGGAGAATGGCGGAAGGGAACTTTTGGAGGTTTGCTGTCGTTTGTGGCAAAGGATTAGTTCACTTTCATATAGCTTCCTTATAATTGAGTATAGTAAGAGGCTTACGCGGCGTTTGGAGCCTTTCTCTCTGCTAGCTTTTGTGATATATACGCAAAGAGTTTCATGCCCGCCCCGGTGACCAGGATGACGCGCAGTGAGGCGCGGATAGCGGCCTCATTGTATTTGTTCTGGGATTTAACTATTTCTCTGAAGGAGGTAGGGTCCAAGGTTCGATTCTGGACAGCAGGAGGTAGCCGGCTTATGACCTTCTCATGCAGTGATTTGTATTCCGATGCGGATAGGGATACGCGCAGAGCGTTGCGGATGATGGGATGGGCGGTTTTCGGAGCGCCTGGCGGAGGCGTGGACTCGGCAGGAGAAGCCATTATTAAGTGCCAGGAATGTTTGGTTGTATATGATGCATACCCCCAGCTACACCTCCAAAGTGCTGACAGACAGACGGGGTTAACAGTTGCTGGTGAGAACTTCCAAGGAATCCCCGGATAGCTCTGTCAAGCAAAATATCCGGAGTTTGACGAGGGTCGTGAGCTTAAATAACCTCGGCTGAGCTGGGAGAGTCTTGGCGCTAAAATCAACAAACATATCTATTCTCTACAGAGCACTAAATCAATAATATAGAGATACATTGTGAAATGAATTGGTCGTCGTCAGTCAGGGCTAACATTGGATCGACGACTAAATTTTAGCGCAATCCCTTTTGCCTCCCAGGTCCGTGTCATGTAAGGTTCGTATGATATATATTTCTACTCAGGCCTTATCCATGAAATATTCTTTCATATTTTCAGGCGTTCCAGACATGTTGGAAATCTGCCTATGCAAAATACGACGGGCGCCTTCTTGCAGAATAAGCAGCACGGATAATCAAGGGGCTGAACCTATTATCATTATATACTTCGTTCCGAGGAGTGCAAAGCAGTCCTAGGAAGTTGAAAGCGGCATTTAACCGCATCCATCCAACCTATAGCACCTTATATTGCCACACGCGAATTACACGGCACGGGATATGTATGGTCCTCATTGCGCAGGATGGGATCTGCGACAACTGAAATTCGCTCCTTTACGTGATGCCAACATACTAGCATTCGGCTTAGTGGATCTTTTGGGATCTTCTGGCGGTAACAAATGTACTGCTAAGGCAGGGAAATAAAAATGGCTGCCATCCCAGCTTCCTGCCATGTTGCGATAGCATCAGTAGCCAGGCTAAGGACTGGCGAACAAAGTGCGAAAAGCCGTAGTCAATGTAAAAGTGGAGAATTCTGTCCAAGGTTTCTGCGAATTTATGGGTATATCTATTAATATAGGCAACACAGCCAAAGTTAGTAATGGACAAAAATTAGGGGTCGGGGTGCTGGGAGAAAGGTGGTTGAGCAAACGGACGCCTAGCTTACCAAATTTATTTCGGATCTGTTACCACCTTATCCTACATCATCGTCCATTCGCCATAGGACGATATATGGTGGAGAGCACCGTAACCAAGAGGCCATTGACCCCAATGTCTAAGTCGAAATAGCCAACCTCTCAAGGGCAGAGGCCTAGGTAGGTGGAGCGAATTTATTGTCGAGAGCAAATATGGAACCCTTCCATATGTATATTCCTCGCTGTCGCAGCGGCCGGTGTGGGATTAAAAAGGAGCGTATTTCCTAAAGTATAGATTAAAATCGGCTACGGGTCATTCGGTATGGAATCCCAATATGTCAAATCTGTCATCCAATCGTTCAGCATCCAGTTCCCCACTGGATCAATTAAACTGCTAGTTGAGAACGGAAGGCCCGACGGGTCTGTCGACAATGGTCGTAAATCTTCGACCGCTATAAACCCGGATTCGTTCCCGGCTAGTGGTTGTGGTGAAGGCGCAATGGTGGAAGATGAATTCTTTTGATCTTGTAGGTTAAACGATCGTGAGGCAGTAAAGCCATTTGTGTTCAAATTGATCTCGTTGGCATCGTTTGACATACGGGCAGGGGCGGATGGATAACGCAGCATATCGTAAGAAATCTCGTTCTTCCGCTGGGAATCGTATCTGAGTCCATACACAAGATCCCATTTCGAGCAAAGGTCGGGCCCGAAAAAGTCAAAAAATTGGAACTGCTTTTCTGAAACGGAGAGCTCGAAGGAGGGTCGTTGAGACTGCTGTTTCTGAACCGCTGCTGTCACGCCTTTGACAACCCTCTGGGCGCCAAGTGCTGATGGGAATCTGTGTGAAAATTCGTCCAACGCTTGGTTTATAACTTTAAACTCCTTTTCGGTTTTGGCCCAAAGCAAAGGATAATTGTGGCATGCTACTTCGGCAAGAGCAGCGGCAAGCAGGTGAAATATAAATACAGGCGCAAGAAGGGGTATCTCCCCTCGAGCTAGAAACTCTTCATAAATTCCCACGACAAATGAAGAGGACAAAACCGGAGCAACAGAGGGAGGAGTATCCATAACAGTGGGTCGAAATAATATTGAAAGCGCCGTGAAATAGGGAATATGCAATTGTCGTGCTTTGAAATTATATGGACAGAGTCGACCTGTTCTTCGATCATGCAAGTGAAACTGTGCTGGGAGCTCACTCATCCAACAGAAGAGTCTATGTTCAATAGACGTACGACTCGAACGTCCCAGAGTCCCACGGAAGGAGTGCTCCGTGAGGTCCCCAAGTATAGCTGATATTTCCACATATGTCATGAAGAGGCGTGCATCTTCTTTGTCACCTGGGAAATCTTCCAACGTTGGAGGACGAACGTCAAAGTCCTTTTTTGAAATGGCTCTTGGGCGGCCATGGCTTGCTGATATCATGCAGTCTCGGGTCTAAAACATACATTAGTAACTAAAACAACATACAAGCGCAAAATATTGAATGAAGGCCATACAAAAAGCGTCCACCATAATCGTCGACGAAAACCAGCATTCGGCTGACTTGGTGATGGGTCACGATGAAGCCCGATCTGATGAGCTAGAGCAACACCCATGTGAAGCCAAAACGTGCTCGCATCCCGTGAGATATGTTCCGCACCACTGGGATTCCACCACTGTAAGAGACATATGGCTTGAATCACTACCAACGGATCCTTTTCAAAATCAGAGTAGTACAGAGCCTTGGCACGGCGATAAAACTCCTCCCCGAGACATTGGGCGTTTGGCGCTGTAGAAACTTTGCTTCCAGCAACGAATATAGCTTGCAAAAGCAGCAGAGATGTCTCAGGAGTGTCATCACGATCTATAGCTATATTGTCCACTATGGGCATCCAGGGGTGACATCTTTCTAGGAAATTTGTAATCAAGCTATCCCGCACCGAACGGGGTGGAAGATCGAAAGCCCGAAGTTCATGGAGGAACTTTTGATAAGCTTCAGAAGGGGCAGCAGAGTCATGTTCGACATGGTATTTCCGTGCATCTTCCTCATCAATGGGCACGATGCTGGAAATATACTCGCTTCTGCCAAGATAACTCGTCGGCGGGCTTGCATAGCTGGCTGCCCGCGATTCCTTTGGCTTGGGTGGCTTGGTAGAAGAATCGGTAGAATCAACTAATGGAGTTTCCATTGTTTGAGCGGGTGATTTGGCAGGATATATAGAGGCCAACGACGCCACAGGCGCTCTCTGGGGTGCAATGCGACGACCCTCTGAAGAGTCCACTCTTCGTCGCCTCTTTCGAATATGTGGTCTACACTATCAGCGGCTCGTAGAAGAAATAACTATTTGGATATACCCACTTGCATTCCTGATTTAGGCTCTGACAATTCGAACATGCTCCATTGGCAGTCGGTAAATCGCAACGAATCTAGTATATCATTTAACTACAATTTAATCAATACATTGCTCAACTGGGTCATACCTTTTTATTATGGCAGTTTGTACAAGCTTTGGCCCCCTGCCGTTCGCGAGGCGTGCGGTGCAACTGTCCATAATTTGTCATAGAGAATAATACTGCAAAATGTCCCTTAATAATTACGTCCGTTACCTGTGCGTGGATTGAATCGTGGGAATTATGAAGTCCTGAACGGGAGTGCAAATTAATCACGTGGTATCTCTGAGATCGCGAACCAATGTAATCCGTCTTCAGCAACAGAACAGGTCCGAAGAAATGGGCGGAATTATTACAAGGCGGAGTTTGAAGGTATGTTTTTCGGCTGCTCTTCGCCAATTGCCGTGGAGCGGACTAACGTTACTTCTAGTTTACTATCATAACTAGCCTAGCTAGTGAAATTTTTCCGAGCCGACTCACACAGCCCGATGCCAACTCCTTGTGTAGCATCGACTCCGTTCTGTCGTCTCCAAACCGGGTAAACATAAGACTACAAATTACAAGGCCCTGACTTTCCCAGCATCTGGAATCCACACACTGTGCAGCATGACGAACCCAATCAATGCAGAAGCGCTCGCAGCGTGGGAGGACAATGCCAGCTTCTGGGACCAGGGAATGGGCGATGAAGGCAACGATTATTACAGAGTCGTAGAGCTCCCCGCCCTCGAGCGCATGGCAGCTGTGAAACCTGGCGACAGGGCGTTGGACCTTGCGACAGGAAATGGGCTTGTCGCGCGCTGGCTGGCGTCCGAGGGTGCTCGCGTTATTGCGACAGACGGCAGCAGGGCCATGACCGATCATGCGAGACGCAGAGGCGTGTATACTAATGGAGAAAATATCAACTCAATATCTTACCAGGTTTTGGATGCAACAAGAACGGAAGACTTTGAGAAATTCATAGCGAGGGAGATAGCGGAAGTAGGACATGTTCTTTCCTGATATTTGTCCTACTATGTCCATCCCAACAACCGCGTCCCTTTTCGATTGAACTGGCGATATTGAACTAACGGAAATGTTGTTTTCGCGTTCTACGTGGATAGGAGGGTCCATTCGATATCGTCATAATGAATATGGCCATCATGGATATCCCTACCCTTGAACCATTAGCAGCTGCTCTACCAAAGCTACTAAAACAAAACACTGGACGGTAGGTGTAGCCTGTTTCTTTTCTCGGGAAACTGGAGATCTTATGAGCAGGAGTGAAAGGGTGGGAGGGTGTTATAGGGAAGAGTAGAGCGCTGTTCCAGAATTTGCTTTTTCTCTCTGCGTGCCTTGTGTGTGACTCAACTGCTAGATTTGTTGCGACGCTCCTCCATCCCTTCATAACGGCCGGATCCACGCGTGTGATCGAGTACGCGGATAGCCGGGAAACAGGACGGGAGGAGGAGCATATCAGCCTTAAGATAACCAGATATCTCCATGCCCCGGAGCCCATCAAGGCAGAAGCGCTGAAGGGCCAACCTTCTTATCAGGTACATATTGCGTATTATATTACTATGGGCTTTGTAAAGTGAAAACCAGTTATCACTTCTGCTGATGAGGATATACTTCTATCATTTATCTCTGTGCTAATCATGGGCAAAAACCCGGCGAATGCCTGAAGTACACTTTCCACCGCCCCATGCACGAGATTTTATCCCCTTTTCTCCGCGCTGGATTAGTCCTCGATGCATTTGAGGAACCGAATTTCGATGCGGAATACAACGCCAGCCAGAAGCTTGATCCAAGATCTTTGCGGTATGTCACCGAAATTCCCAAAATCCTCGCATTCAGGATGAGGGCCATTGGTCAGTGACCATTGACGACGCTCTCCTCGTATATCGTCATGTTTCATGAAATAAACGGAAGCCAAACAAGGTCCTACTAGTGGTGGCTCTGGGGTTTCCAAAGTGGTGGGCCAAAGTATGTTGGTTCTGTCAGCTGGTCCTATTTTGAGTTTTCTAATGTTGGGTATTTTTGAGAGTCGATGAAACACAGCCGGTCATTTTATGCTTTTGCCTTGCCTCCTGTCCTACAAGCCTAGACCAAAGATGTTACAAAAGCCAGCTGAAACAAGAGTTTGCAGGCCTGTCATAATTCCATAATAAATCTATCATATTAGTTAAAGTTTGACTGAGTCAGATCCTCTTCTCACCGTGGATTACCTCTCAGCCTTCAATCATGTGCATCAGCAATTTTTTTGTTTACGCCTCAGGTGTCCCCACATATGACCGCTGGGATATAAGGTTTTTCGTTGTCCTAATTGCCAAAATAAGCAGACAACAATAAACCAGGGACCCTCAGAAAGGACCAGGATAAGTGCGGAGGGGGCAAATTTTAATCGATATCGATCAGATGATGGATATTTTGTGTCTGTTAGCTAGCTATTTGCGGTCCAGACCAACAGATACAAAAGTAACATAAAGCTAGCCCTGCACTGGCGCTCGACAATTCCTAGATATCTCAAACGATAGCGTGGAAAAATATGGAGCGCGGATCAGAGTGCGTGTATCCCACAAAATGCCTAACTAATATCAATGAGATACGAAACAACGGGGGCCATAAACAACCCAGAGTTCCACTCCAATGCTGCAGGCAAACTTATCATGTCGTTCATCATGCGAATTCAGGCACGGAGTATGAAAACAGCGTTACGACGTATTCTCATACAAAACTAAAATTAACACCTCCGGAGCCATAAAACAGATGGAGAAAGGGAAAAGCTACCAAATGGAAACTAGCCCTACCACCTGATTATTTTCTGGGGGAAGAACTCGTCAATGAGCTCGAGGTAATATGGCTATCTCCCAGATTAGAACAGCCTATAAATAAAACCCCACGCGCAACCGCCTTCCAGAAGCGAAAAACGGGTTATAGATGCTACTACTTACCTTCAATTCCTCTGTATTCGGAATATCATCAGTCTTGCTATACAGATCATACGGATTAAACGCCCTCACAGCCTCAAGCATATCCTTATCATGCTCATCCATGAGCTCCATATACGCGCCCGAGGTATGCCAGGCATAAAAGGAATGGTACCGGATAATCGCCAGCGCTTCAGGCGGGAGCAGCGACTGGTCCTTGACAACGTTGTATAGATATTCGTCATGGCCCCAGGACAGGATGACATTATCCATCCCGCAACCGGGGCTGTATATACCATATTTTGTCCCGTAGATTTCATGGCCGTAGTCTGGGTTCTTCTTGAAGGACTCGGACGTGTATATGATGCGATCATCAAAGGCGCAGCCGACGGGGAACGTGTCGCCGACTACATCCCACTGGCCCTGGGCGTCGAAGAAATAGAGCAGCTTGCCAAGGTCATGGATGAGGCCGGTCAGCTGCATCCAGCGCGGCTTGCCATCACGCCGGATGGCCTCGGCGGCCTGGAGCAGGTGCTCAATCTGTGTGAGGGAGGTGTCAGGGTCAGAGTCGTCAATGAGGGTGTTTAGTTTTTCGATAGCGTCCCATATGCCCATGTAAGCACGGGTCTTTGCGCGGAAATTATTGCGGGCCTTGAGGTTGTAGGCGACCGTCTGCTTCTCATGCTGCTCGAGGTAGAACTGCTTCACTTTTTCACAGGCGAGTTCGTATTGGCGGAAGCGGGATTTGTCTTTTTCTTTGTCAAATTCGGACTCATCGTATAACCCCTTTTCTTTCTTCAAAGTGGCGTTGAGAGCATTGACTGCATCAATATTGTCAGACAGCTCTTCGAGAGCTAAACCATCCTTCCGTTTCAAGGGAACAGAGATGATGGCCTTCGGTGGTCTCATGACAGATGGGTATTAAGGGATAAATATACAAGCAAGTTGCCTTTAAATCAAGTTAACTGCGCAAGCGGGAAGAAAGCAAAATAAACTAATCCAAACGATTCTCAAGAAAATGATAAGAATGACGCTCCTGGAAGCGGATCACTACCCCTTTATACCGACAGAATATAAACCACTGAGAGCGAGTTGAAGGTCGAGAACTCGCCCTTTATGTTAACACCAAGCTTTCATGATTAAACTGGAACCTGGAAACTCCAATTTTGTGGAGGCAATCAGTGTAAATCACAGGATGATGGCTGGAATGTCGTCCAGGGATCCGGGGAAGAAAGTCATGTATGAAAAGGAAAAAAGAAGCTTTTAAACCGCCATTTTCTCCTTCCTCCCGGGTTTAACTAGGTAAAGTGCCACTCATACCTCAAGAATATGTATGGCATGCCATGGCACAGGCAAATAGCCAAACCGTCAAGCACCGTGACATCACCGGCGTATCCTGTGGTCCCGATATGATGTCAGATGTGTCAGGGCTATCCAACTCTAAACCAACCTTGTGGACGCCTCGGAAGAAAGAGAGCGTTCTTTGCCTATACGATGGCGAAGAAGTCGGTTATTTGGATATCCCGCCACCATGGCATAGCATTCAGCTGTCGGATATTGATGATGTTGTTCTGGGAGCTAGGCGAGTTGGCAAGCGAAACTGGGATTCTATACTACAGTCAAATAACGTTGTAGTTGAGATCATAAATATACAAGGATCAGGTATAAAGATTGCGACTGTTCATTCAACCACTCTCGTTCTAGTGAGGCCGGGCTTCGCGTGTAATAATGATACTTGTTGGTTGTTTTATTTTCTGTTCTTCTTCTTCAGTTGGAAAGGAGCATAAATTTTGGAGGAAACAACTTGGTCTGTCTCTGAATCGAACCCTCGCCGCTTGAACTCTATAAAAAAGGACAAGGAACCCTGCCAAACTGCTAAACCCCTTTTTTCCCACTCCAAAGAAACCGCCCGAGAGACGGAATACGAGGTAAATCCAAAGACAAATGAACAAAACGGACAGAAAAAACATCAGGTTCATCGATACTAGTCATCCTACGTGTCATAAATTGAAGTGAGTGCAAAAAGGTGAACAACGGGGAGAAAGAATAACGGGACCAAAAACACCAGAAAAATTGAGAAAAGAAATATGCGCATGTGCGGCCCAAGAACCTAGATCAAAGATCTCGAAATAAGGGCGAAATAAGGGGTATCTAATCCATAGACAGGAAACGGGAGACGAGCTGGCCCTTGGGAACAAAGATTAGTGGGTGTGGTAGTAATTTTATATTCGGACGGGAAAGAAAGATATATGGGAATCCGGTGGGTGCAGAGGACGAAGGGCGTATCTGGTCAAGACCAAAAGGAAAAATAAAGGAGAACCTCGGAAAAAGAGAGAAGGAAACAAGCAAACTCCCGTGCACTGAAAGGCCGAACCCGCACAGAACCAAGCGGCTTAACAGTCCTGTTAAGCACCTCAACATTTACCACGTGGGGAGGGAGAAAAAAAGAGGGGGATGGGGCTAATAATGAAGGGAAGGCATCTTCAAATGTAGAAAACGACATCACGGCATATTAACCGTCGAAAAAAAATACACATTAGAGAACCCCCCGAGATGCCTCCTTCGGTTTGATCTCAATTACCTCCGGCACAACGAATCCAACCCACGTCTTGATAATGGATGGGCTGCCCTCCTGAACACCAGTGACTGACATAATCTCCTCTCGCCAGCCAATTGGATCGGTCTCGGATACTGTCAATTCAGAAGTATCATTCCTATTCTTGACGGTCCGGGCGGCCCGAATCCGACGCCGTTCGCGCTCAATTATAATATCCTCCACAAGGCCCGGTGTGAGGATCCCGCTCACTTTCATAGCATTGAAAAGCTTTTGAAGTATTTTGAACGGGATCGCAAGGAATATAGCTGACAGTATCCTCTCCTCTCTGCTAGACGTGCAGTTGTTAGCAGCGGCAAAATTTCCAAACGTCACTGAGGAAGAAATTTCTCTGATCGAGAACCTAGACGGTGCTTGTCCGGAAAGTCTGTCGGGCAGCTCTCGCGAGTTCACGTCAGGATCAAGCTGGAAATTTTGAGGGAAGTTTTTAATGAGGAAATCAATCGCTTCATTAAGAAGTTGTGGTCCCCATATTTCCTTGAGCTCCCAGTTGAGAGTGCAAGGATATTTACGGGGATCATCCACATTCGCCAAATCGCTCTCCATATCCTGCTCGCTGCTGTTGGGTATAGAGGTCGCTTTATGATGGAGTTTGTCAGAACTGGCCGCTTCCCGACCAGTACCAAGGATACTGTTAACTGGTGTAATCATAAAATTGGAAGCTGAAATACCGAAGTGAAAAATGACTTCCAAGTTATTCCAGCAGATTGCATTTGTGACGAGGCGAGAAGCACGACGAAGAATCCTATTCTCTGCAAGGAAAGCAGCTGATGCGGCGTAACATAGAGCAAATCTCATTTTCTCCAGCTCACGAAAGCGGCTTCCATTTCCACAATTCTGGTCCCGATCCTCCCCATTAGTGTTTCCAACAGCTTGCGTGAAGTCATTGTCTAGCTGCTCTTCAGCTATTAATGGAACACCATAGAAATGTTGCAGTGCCATACCAAATGCAAAGGGGTGAGAGAAAGAGGCTGCAGCTCCCAGGTGTATCTCTCTCGGGCGCGTAGCAGCATCCATTGCTTTCATCAACTTTTTGAGATGCGGACTTCTTGAAGCAATTAACGAGTGGACAGGGAAGGACACAGGCGGGCAATGTTCCGCGGAGGAATTCAGGATTAGTCGAAAATCTGCATATTGTCCAGATCTAAATGTTTCGAGAATATGAACTGCAACTGGCTCTAATTCTTCGTCAGAATGGTAACGGGAGCTGTAAACGTCGCGACGAACAATTGGTCCGGTACAAGGCTGGGGACCTTGCTGACATACTTGAGCAAAATCCAGCGGATTAAGAACATTTTGACTTCCTCCATTGGAGCTTCTTTCTGCCCTTGTTATGCTCTCTTGTAGACCATTTCGACGGATGGCGTTGTCACCAGTCTGAGCACCATTGGCCTCATTGAAAGGCATAGCTGGAACAAATTGAGTGCACTCTGCTGTTGGTCTATATTGTGGTATGAGTGGGTGATATGGATAGTTGGGGAACATAAAATAGCGCATGCACGGCCGGGAAAGTGCATCGCCGTTCTCACAGCATGTTCCTGGAGGATGCATAGGTTGGGTCTGATCTTGCAAAACAGGGAGATGGCAATACTGGGAGCCTCGATAGGATGGCGGGTAAGGAGGGATCTGCAGTTGTGATCCCCGGTAGCCCGAGTACGTCTCAGAAGAAGGGAGCGAGGAACTGGAATCGGAACGGCTGCCAAAATAAATCCCATGGCTTTGAATCATGTAGGGATCAGGTGTTGTAGCTCGAGGAACCAATCTACCCGGCGCTCCCATAAAAATTCCACCAGGTGGTATGGAGGCGTTTGGGGAAGAACAATGACTAGCGGTGCTATGGGAGTGGTAAGGGTGACCTGGATGGTAGGCCTCAAAACCACTCACTTGAGACATAGGTTCTGGGATTCGAAGCATACTGTTAGCAACCAAAGCATGAGTGCGAAGCGCAACAGTATTATAAACATACCGGTATCCGCCGTGTACTGGCTGTTGAAGCTTCCCTGCCCAAATTGCCACTGACTTGCCGGTTGAGGTTGAGTGCTGCCGACAATAAAAGGCTCGTAACGATATCCTTGCCGTGATATGTGGCTATGATCAATTAGAGCGGTAGCAGTAGATGCCGCCAGCTCTTCCATAGACTTCTGATACTCTGCCGCTTCCTTCTTAGCCTTTCTTTTATTTCTATTCTTGCTGCTTTTGCTCTGCTTTCTTTTAGCGGCTAATATCCTAACCGGCTTCTCAGTATCCAACTGCGTTTGATCTCGATCCCCAGTCACCACCTCAGTGAGGGTTCGATTGCAGTGCACAGGGACCATTCTGGAACCACTTGGATGAATGGAGCAGAAAAGTTATTGTGATATTCCGATTGTCCTGGCTGCCTCGCGTTCGATGTCCCTTTATAGGCTCAGGACACAATGACAAACAACAGAGGCTCCCAGATAAAGGTAAATAAATAACAATAAGGATGGAAATATTTTCCAGAAAGAGGGGCTAACAACACCAAACGAGAAGTGTTGAGCAGGTGGTTCCACCTCCACAACTTTCTGTTGCGTTTTCTGCGCTGCAATACCTATGGTAAATATAAGGGAAACGGATCCCCCTGAAGAAAGTGTGAGAATTAAATGGAGCAAGACGCGTAGAGACTGTCTGTAGAAGTAAGCCAAGGAGAGAGAAGAAGACCAGCACAGGTAAACGAATGAGATAGGTGAAAACAAAGAGATATCCTTCTACAGACTACAGTGTAGAAGAGAACGATAGAGACTAATGCGTGGTCTCTTGACCACAATAGGCGGATGTTGAGGTTTCCCAGGAGATTGCCCGATTGGGATGGAGGATTGTGTTAAGCCTGGGACACGGATATTCCACCTCCTCCTCCACACAACGCATTGAGATGTGACTCTTGCTGAGATGCTGCTGCTGATGGTAATGATGATGATAGGAGATAATAAATATGATGAGAAATGAATAGCACGAAGAAAGTGATAAGTATATCGAAACGAACGCCGCGGTCCAACCCTATCAAAGCAGTCCAACTCCTTTTGCGTCCGCCCGTTAGCATTCCTTGCTGCGAAACCCGGAGATGACAGGCTAAATCGATAAACTCGAATGAAAGGGGGAAGAAGAGTGAAAAGGGAGGAGGGAGGAGGGGACGAAAGAAGGGCAAAAAGGGGACTGGCTAGTTGATGTTAAATCAACCAAGGTAACACACAAAAATCCCACCGTGAATTAATCTCACACATCCAGGTCACAGACGTAAAACCAGTATACAGTGGTCAACTCCATCCCATTCATCAGACACATTCAGAGTGAGGAAGTAAAGTGGGAAGGTATATCGGAGTGTTTCATTCACCCAAAGTTGAAGTCACCACCTCCTCCCACTCCCGCTTCCCTCGCAATTTTTGAAAGTAGAATAATTTTTGCATTTGTTTTGTTCATTTTTTATTTTTTTGGTCACCCGGGGCCCTCCGCGGCTGAGGAGAAGTAGACATGGATATATATCAGAGAAAAGAAGAAAAAGTGCAGGAAAAGAAATCCAAGGGGGCCAGGGAGAGACAGAATCTTGTACATACATAGATATACATGCAACAACCAACAACCGACTGAATCACACAATGATCCTCTCGGCTTAAACGAGTAAAAAGGCCAAAGAATATGTAAAGCAAAAAGAAGCGGGGGGGTTGAATGTCACATTGAATGAACCCAACTGGCTTTGAACGTCTTTTTGTCTCCTGCGCAAAGAAAATGAGAAAGAAACAAGAAGGGAATATTGTACAGTCCAGAATGTGGCCTAAGAAATCACATTGGAAATAGACAAGAAAAATGCTAAGACAGGTGGCAAATAGAATGATGTATCCAAAGGGAACCATGCCCCTAAGAAAAAGGAAAATGTGACATCAATACAGCAACAAAGATATAGAAAGGTGTATAAACCACACGCCCTCAACGAGTTTTGTTAACCTTCAGGGGCTCTCTAAACGTAAAATGAAAATTTAGACAAAAAAAAGAGAAAAATAGGCAATCTTCTCAAAACATGCCCCCTTCCATGGGCAACTTCTTCGGAAGTTGCGGTAGCGCCGGAGAGCTATTATTCATAAGCTGTTGACGAGCCTTCGCATTCAGATTACCACCCTCGCTTGATATTTTTCGCAACTTTTGACGTGGTCGTGGCCGCTTCTCCTCTTCAGAAAATATACTCTGATGATTATTATGAGAATGATGCTGATGATACTGTTGTTGATGTAGTTGTTCATCCATCAGGCCAGTAGGGTTTGAACCAGGCATGGATGGCTGGTCGTATCTGTCAGAGCTCTTGAAGGCGTTTATAAAAGTCTGCGTTGTCGTTTGCCGTCTGCGTCGGGGGTTCATGGGAGGTATTGGCGGGGTTGAGCCGTTGGTGAGGCTGGCGCCTGGCGGGAGACCGACTGTCGGTACGTTGGAGGTTGAGGAGAGGAAGGTCGGCTCGGAAATCTTGGATTTGTCGATTACGCGTTTATGTGCGCCCCCAAGCCCTTGGTTGCGTTGGCTACTGCTGATATTCATGGGAGGCACGAGAGTGGGAGTCGAGGTGGAGGCGTGGATTGGGGAAGCTTCGTTGAGAGGCGGTGTTGCGTTGGCGGAATATGGAGTTACTGGAGAGGGACGGGGGGGATTGCCGATTAAATCGGATTGATGGGTTTGAAGTGGGATGGGAGGGTTAGGATCGTAATAACCCTGTGCAGCTGAGCGGCTATTACTCCGGTACCTACCAGAGGCCCCAGATGTAGATCGCTCAGAAGACCTATAGTCGCTGACCTCTTCTGACGGTCGGGAGGAAGATGAAACAGATGCCGAAGCCTTTGAAGACTTAAGTTCTTCGCTTTGCACTTCGCCGTGGCCGATTGTATGTTCCCCTACAGGTTCAAGATCATCACGATAGCGCGGTTGGCTTTTTGACCGGCCTGACACGTCTGAACTAGATCGGGTTCTGCCAGAGCTCCGGTGCGATGGTGGAGAAGGATCACCAGTAAATGATTCTCTGGACCCATCCTGGCTTACTCTCCCCCTGATGCTGCCTTGTGGGTGCCATGGTCGATTGTGATTGCGAGCTCCGAGATGGGGTGATCCCGAACGAGATTCCCTCCCACGATTACGGGAGGCTCTCTCCTCATCGTCCAGCCATGAATCGCTTGTGGGGAGGATTGGCGAGGATGAGTTGAAAGAATTGTCCATGCCAAGCATTTTCATGGCTTTTGACTGAGGTGCATCAGCTCGACCGCCCATAGGGCTTCTGCCGGTTTTGCTCTTAAGCATTGCAAAGGCATTACCGTGTTTTGGTCCGGAACTATAATCGTGGAAACGATGGCCGGAAGACGGACTACCTGATCTGCTTTCGCTCTCAGCGAAGCTTCGTAATTTCTCTTGCACCTTCTTTCGCCGCTCAGCTAGCTCGTTCGCAAGTTCTTCACGCTCGTTCTGCGTTTCTGAACTTGCACCCCTTTGATGACGTGGTTTGTGTTCCTCTTGCCACGGTGAACTGTGGCTTGTCGGGCCTCTGGATGACTGGTCACGCATATGGTTGGGAGGTGAGATATTAGAGTTATCCGGCGGTCCTGCTGGTGATGGTACATGCGCCTGCGTCTGTATACGTAAAGCAGTGGCCTGCCCGAGCATTTGCTTCGCTCTCATTGACATAGAGGAGAAATCAGGCTGTCCAGTTTGCTTCGCGGGTTCTTTATTATCAGATGCTGGACTGACTAGCTTATATAGGTCATCATATTCCCATGGGTTACTGTGAACACTAGCGGCATGGTCAGAATCTCTAGCGGCTTTAACGGCGGGATTAAGCTCTCGAGCGGTATCTTTGATTTTACAAATACCCGGGGACGGCGGCGGGTAGATCGAAGTGTCACTATCGTGCCGAAGATGTGTACGAACTAGCCCGCTTAAACCGAGCCCTAAGGGACCAAGTGTAGGCGAATCCGGGGCGTCACCGACAGGTTCCTCAGTGCCTTCATTCTCCTGTATGGTGTTGAGGTCTCGAGTTTCCGAATATCGCAATTCGGGAGTATCAGCGTGAGAGCCTCTGTTGAGAGAACTCTGCGACGAGTCGCCAGAATTGCTCCTAGATCTGAAAGCGGGATGGATATTTTCGAGTGACTGAACCGCCGTAAGCATGTTTTTTAGCGTCGGTTCTCGTTCGTCTTCACTTCCGCTATCACCTCCACTCAAGAAGGCGCCGTTAATTGGCTTCAACCTCGATGGGGACGGCGATGGTCTACGACTACTATTTGTCGTAGTGGATTTTCCTCCGCTGAGTCGAGTTTCGTTCTGGGGGTTATTGTATTGTGAGACCAGCGTATCCACCTTCGGTCGGTGGGTTGAATTGGAAACTTGGCGCGAAGGTGCGGAGTGTTCCGCATCAACGGCAGGTGGTGGTGGAGAGCGACGTCCCAAAGGAGGAGTATCTCTACCCTCATACATTTGACGCTGCCGTTGTGAGAATTTTGTATCATCATACTGGGTGGCTGGCTTGTTGAAAAGGCCCATAGCAGTAGCCTTCCCCCGATCCTCAGGCTGAAGCGCGGCCTCTAATGATCTTAATGATCTTTGTTCCTCGGACTCACTAATGGGGGGACTTAACTGTGATGAGACGCCAAACCCCGGATTTCCAACGGGAGATTTCTCTGGTTCACCTTTCCTGGCAACATCAACTGCCTCGGCAATTGTGGTAGGAGCAGATGGAGGTGGGCTTGTAGGGCGGAAACCTGAAGAAGCATATACTGGCTGGCGATGCTGGAATCTCTCATTTAAACTAGTCGTGCTCTTTGACAAAGATCGATTTATCTGTGTAGAGTCATTGACCCCAGCTCGCTGGCGGCTAAGGCTTTCGAGTCTCGTAATGGCAGAGGGCTGTTGGGTGTTGGGCTCAATGCCTTGACCGTAGCGTCGAGGTTTTGTTGGATTGCGCTCCATTCCAGTTGAAGTAAGATTAGGCTTTATAGGAGAAAATACAGCTTTGGAGGCGATTGGGGAATTAGTCCCCTGGCCTGAGTTGCGCTGGGCGGAGTCAACTGAGGTATTCGAAGTTGAGGTACGATTAACTGACGGTCGGGAAGTCAAGGAACCCTCATCTTCCGTATCATGTCTATTCTGCTGCATTTCCAACTCAAGCTCAAGCTGCTGCTGCTGCTGCTGCTCTTTTTCTTTCGCTCTCAGCTTCTGGAAAGCAGATAATGTAACATCATTCTCATACACAGCTTTCCCTCCCATCCCACCCCCAGTCCCTGAGGCTTCTGAAGTCGACCCACTTCTAGGCGTCGTCGACGCAACCGGTATTTTATAAACTTTTTGTCGCCCACCAAACAAGTTGTTCCCTTCACCAGGCCTGGATCTGCTCATAACACTACCGCCAGGGGAAAAGTCCCCATCATCGGTAGCGTAGCCTTCTCCAGAGGCGAATGAACCGCGCCCGATGGCAAAAGATGGCCGAGCTGAGCTGCCATGAAGCGAAGATACTTCTGCAATGTCCCCAAGGGGATTGTTGCCTTGGCCAAAAACATTGAGTCTTGACGCCCTCTTTGGCAAGAGTACGCTGTCGTCATTGGCCTTCCCGATTTTAGAATTTGGATCGTCCTGCTCCCGTAACATGCTAAACCGCGCGGAGAGATTCGGCATGAGTAAACTGGTTCTGAAATCGTCCGATGATGGGAGGGCTGAGGAGAGGTCCAGCTCTGGTGTCGTCTCTACTTGCGGTTTCTTCGCCCTCTTGAACGCTTTAGATGTGAATAGTGGTAGTGGCTGGCCCTCTTTATCGTCCTGGGCATTTTGGGCTTCCTTACCCTTCTTGCGGGTTCTGAATCGATTCATCTTGTTTTAGGGATCTAGCGTATGTTCCTAGTTGGTAAATAGGGGACCTGTCGAAGGCAACAATTGGTGACGGTCGAGATCAGTCAACAGCAAAGAAGCGGCAGGGCAGAATCGTATAAAGGAATGTACTGTAAGTATTTCCCCCCCTAATGTGTTGTAACCTGGTTGTGATAGGCGAAGGGGGATGTGGAAGCGAAGGACAATCAATCAGAGTTTCTGACTCGAAAAATTCAACAACACTTCGGTGAAGCCTGCATGGATGTGAATGCTGAAGAGTTAGTCTTTCAAGAGCCACGCAGAAATGATAAATTTGGACGTGAAGCATTCTAAGCTGGTAACAATTTCATAGCATGCAGAATAGAAGTCTAGCAAAGTAGAACATATGTAATAAATAATAAACAGCAATCTATTTGTACGTACTTGTACAAGGACCTGCCCTTTGGATCAGACGAAACGAATCAATTCGAATAAGATGCGACCAGTGCAATCTTCATGCCGTGATTGACCCGATCTAACAGGCGCAGAATGAAGCGTGAGCTGCAGCGGAGGGGAGGGGGGAGAGAATGCTTTCGGTGTGGTTGCGGCGTCCCACCCTGCAGCCTGATTGACGCCCTCTGTATCCTCAAGATCGTGCTCCGTCTGAAGAAGATATGATCAACCTGCCTTCTTCAACTACGCATTGGCTGTCGGGTCTAAGACAATTCCGGTCGCAACTTGGAAGGGTTTTGGATCAATAAAAAGGGTTTGAATGGCAAAAGAAAAGTCTTTAGAGTATCGAAAACGAATGAATGGGTCGAAAGCAAAAAATCAGCCAGCGAAAGAGAAGTCTGTCTCTGCGGGGGCACCCTCCAGTAGGACAAGAAGAGAGTCCACAAAGTCAGTCGATATTTAAATTGGAAGTTGAAGAGAAGAATAGGGAGGAGGGATGGCGAGAAGAAGCTCGAATGGCAGCGAGTAAGTAGAATGTCCAAATCGTACTCGTTCGTCGGGTGTTTAGTAAAGGGAGAGCGGCGGCTGAAGAGGATGATGGAAAAACGACAACGAACAGGATGAAGGATGGACCGGACAGGATGCAGCAGACTTGTTACAAAAACGTCTCTCCGTCGTCCCAATCAGGAGTGCAATTTGACCATGGAGGCTTTGCCGGCCACTTTGGATCGCGCTCTCAAATTCGATCGCTTGCTACCTACCTACCTACCTAGGTACCCATGAGTTTTTCCAGCGATTCGGGAAAGAAAATAGCGCCCTCGATCACTGCCTGACGGGCCAGCCTAGTTGACGCCTCGGTCTTCTGTTGTGGCCCTTATTTTTTTGGACGAGTCTTCTCTGCTCCGGCTTCAGACGGCTGGAAGAAGAAATTTCCAACACTCTTGTTCCCCACATGGGGTGTGAATTATTTACCGCCGTTTGTTCAGGGGCAAGATTAGCGGCCGCGCCAGGAGATTCCCGGACAATAATGGCCAGGCACAAACGATGATTAGAGATAACTTATTACTACTAGATTTCAGCAAGGCTCAGACCCTGTGTTCTACTCTGTTGGAAGCAGCCAGCAAATCCAGCAAATCCAGCAAATCCAGCAAGGAAGTGTCAAATGCTCACTGCTCACTGCTCACTGCTCACTGCTCACTGCTCAACTGCTCACTGCTCAGAGCAAACCTCGCCAGAGCCTAATCATAAGAATGGTTCGTATCTGGTGGAAAAAGAGTTCTTATTTTTACAGAATCTTTGATTTTACGTTGTATGTACAACAAGTTTGAGCTTCAATTTCTCAACAATCATACATTTTTAAGATTTGTGTATGACCTTAGGTTATAGCTAAAGAGAAGAAGAATAGAAATGTATAATTGATATATTGAAAAAATTAATAATATTGAAAAATGTTAATTGAAACTGATCATATTTCATTCTCTCTGTAATTTACATACCATCTCATATATGGGACATGGTATGGTATGTATTGTTTGACTCGTATCTTTAAAAAAATATAATCTTATCTTGATCTGTTTCATCTGATATGTACTTCATAAAATAAAATAAAATAGGAATATGAAATTAACAATTAGTTCAATCAAAAGATAATTGATTTCTCTATAATCTAAGGTGATACAGAAATATTGATTAGATAGGGTTGAGTTGCTATCCTCATTTGAAAATCATTGAACATACAATTATTATTACATTATTACGCTGTTTCATGAAAGATTCTGGGAGAATGTGGCCTATTTGGGATTAGTTAGCCCATTAAATAACAGCCAATCAAATGCAGATTGATCAAGGGATAAAAAGCAGCAAATCTTTTAGATAACCTTCAGGCACCGTCACAGGTGGGTGGCCATATTCGACGCGTTGTTGTTGTTGTTATTAGTATTATTATTATGATAATAAGGATGAGGGGGGCGCGTGGGAGCACTGCAGGACGGACACCCGTGGACAACAGTACGGAGTACACGCAATATCAACCAGATATTTTCAGAGAAACCGCCAGAAGGAGAACATCATGAGTCCCTAAAGATTTGACCCGTCAGGGGCCATCTGCACGCCGGACTGGCGTACATAAACCGTTCTCATTGTTCTGCTACCCGCCAGATGCCGGGCTACTGCAGCCCACCGCACACGCCAGTGTAATATTGGATACGGACCAATACAATCATGGTCAAGTACTCGATTTCACGCCGTCGAGAAAGATACCGCTAAACGTTCAAAGTTTCCACAGCGAAACCGTTGTTGTTCAATCAAGATTCAAGAAGGACATTCACGGTGGAAAGGGCTGACGGCTTGCTCTCCCCGTTTCGAGGCTAATAACAGCACGCAAGGAAACTGGCAGCATATGATCTGGCGGCTGCAATACGATCGCTACCAGCCGAAATACCCCGCTGTTTTCTTGCGGCTCTATTAGTTACCTACTCCGTACGGAGTATGTGATTATGAATCCGAATCCTATTGCACAGGATAGATATTATTTCCTGAATTCCCATGAAACCCGGGCACGGCGGTCAGGTTTTCCATCAGTATTTCCACCCTATACCTTGACTATCAAATATAGATCAACATCCTCCACACAGTTACAAGGACGGACCCCAGCATTGGGACTCGGGGCTTGGGGCAAGATTTGAGATAGTTGAACTGGAAGAAGTCTGCAATACTCGAAACAAAAAGAAACATCTCGTCAATTGAGTGGTTAAGGGGGAAAATGGATATCCTGGAACCTATTTACTATTATTATCATGCGACGAGATAAACCCACGAAAGCCTTGTTTGTTCTTCTCAAAAGCCCCAAGCAGCATCCAGCGCTGACATTTACAATATCTCTCTTATTTCATCCATCCATATGTGCGAACGGAGGAAGTTCGCGGTTTACACCAGCTGCAATGTAACCAATGAATTTCGGTCCAAATGTTTCCAGTCCAGCAAAAGTTGAAACATGCAAATTATGCGAGCAGCGGATACTCGAGGAAGTTTCATTTAACTATCATATAAACTATTTATTCAGATAGCCGCCACGTTTCAGTCAGGACTTCTGCAGCCCAGTCGCTCGTGGCTTCAACCAAGAGAATCGGCTCAGTGGATTCTTTGTTCGAAAAATACCCTTCAATAATATATCTATTCCTGCGAGATTTTCGCCCTGAATTACTAATCATAGCCTTAATACATGTTTCCACGCAGCAAAGGGTAAAATGGACGGGGAAAGGGTCCCACAACATCCCCTGATGTGACAAATTTTTCCGTGCCCTTGACTCTGCCATCGACTGAGTAAATGTTTCCTCTCAACTGAATTTTATTATCCCTTGGACCCTACCCTGGATGAGATTTTCGCAGTTCATCACCTCATCTTTTCGGTGGAGAAGAAACCAAGAAGGTTTTCCGTTCGTTCGAATGCGTTCCGATTCCCCTGGCCTAGCAATGTACGGAAGTATGTACGCTGTACTGCAGTGTAAGGCCAATGACTAGCGCCGGAGGTACCAGAGAGGCGGGCCGTTTAGCAACTGCGCTAATGTGCGGTATTCGCTGGATAACCGGGGTTAGTTTCAGGTACGGAAACTCAAATGGCCTTTTTTTTTTTTTTTTCTTTTTTGTAATTTACACACTAACCTATCATTAGAATTATTTCCTTCTTTTATGGTCGTTTTATATAGTTACGGCGCGTTTCTATCTTTCTAAGGCCACAAAACATTTTCAGGACAGAGGCAAAAAAGATCAGACCAGCCAAGCCGGCGACTGCTTAAGTTCTTACCTTCCCTCCCCTTCACCTCAATATTCGCCCCCTGATCATAATGACGAAACGCAAAACGTACAAATCACGATAAAGATCTCACCTACATGTGCCTATCTAGCTCTAAAGCCGGTGGTGGTCAGCTCCTCCACACCGCACCAGAGGGGGACAGGCACAGCCAGTGGTGAAAAAGCGGCCTTATTCTGCTCCACACCCCCCAGTTTTCGACCCACGCCTGTTTACAGAGTAAGTTACAAGGGTGGTCGAAGCAAAAAAAAAAAAAAAAAGTCACAAATCTTGGATAGCATGATCTCAAAAAAAGTCGGCCTTTTTTACCTGGGTGAAAACGGAGATGTTTTCATTTTTCCGGAGAAAATTTCCACAACACGACGCAAATCGACCACTGAAAACGAAAAAAAGGGCCGTGGTGCGGCGGTGCCAGCCTACTCCATTAACAAGGCGCGGTTACAGCATCCAGGGGCCCCCAGTGTCAACCTTCAGAATTGGCTGGAGACTTTGTTCTAGGCCCTGGTCTTCGCCTTTTTTCTCGCTTGGCACTGGCAGACTGGCTGGCTGGTCTCGTTCGAGATAAGAAAGAGAGTCCTTCGTCCATTGATTAATGATGACTTGTTGAGTTCCTGCTTTTCGATGAATGTTTGCTTACCTCCCGGGCAAACCAAATGATGGATCATCGCTCCCCATTCTTTCCATAATAACTAATAATTATTATTTTATGAAAGCAGAGGAAAGCAGGCAGCATTGACACCTTTGCTCGTGAAAGAGCTTTTCCTTCCCGTCGTCGCCACGGATCCGATCAGATTAGCCTTGGAACTGAACTTCCAGAAAGCCTGCCGGATAACAAGCTAGCCTTTAGCCGACGTTGATGCATGCTAGTCATCCAAAAAAGACCTTGACAAAATCCAAACAAATCTCGCCCTCGTATTCCTTCCTTCCGATTGCCAGAGGTGATGATGGTGACATTCAAAGCTGTGCTACATGTAGGTGCATACCATTTTCATCACAGCGAAAGAATATTTAATATGAGCAGACTAGTCTATACTGCAGGCCAGTGATAGTCCAAGCAAAAATAAAAAATAAAAGGCCAAGCTCGAAAGCCTGCAGGAGACAGCATGAACGCATGAACTGGCACCCATGCATGCATCATATCTCATCATGGTGTCATGTCGAGTTCGCGTTTTGCCTTCCTCGAACATATTTTTCCTTGTTTTTTTTATCCATCTGCTTGGGGCATGCCTAGTCTCAGCTTTTCCTTTTTTTGATTGCTATTATTATGACTATCATTTGGAGCAGTGCAGAGGGGGGAGAGAATTTTGCCTGCTTACAATACAATAGTTAATAAATAATAATAATTGAAACCACCAGCTGAAGAAAAAATAATGCTATGATACTAAAATGAATTCTTCCCCGCACGACTAAATGACTATATTCGTTGAAATATTTGCCGTTCCCTCAAAGGTACGGCAGAAAAGTCTCGGGGAGCTATCTCCCACTCTTTTCCTTACTGCTGCGTGGCTGAAGGATGAAAAATTCGCCAGAACAGGGATCAAAATTTCAAGCCAGCTCAAAATAAAACTGATTCAGCTGATAGCAGCTTTCATGAATTTGAAAGGAGTCTACAAAAAGGGACCTGAGATGTAGAGGAATCATTAATCCACTGCAAGTCCAATAATCTGTCAACAAGGCTGTTTTGAGATGGGGATACGATACTATGTGGTATAGCGCCGCATGTTGCTTGATTGCTCAATTGCTCACTCAGTATGAAATGAAATGAATTGTCTTCAGGTGTGCATGGCATTGCATTCATGCAGAGTCACTGCTATTGACAAGTGTGAAATCTTCTCTTTCTTCCTTTCCCTCTTCTGATGTTGCATAACATCTTTTGTTATCTTCACATACATTTATTTCACCTTGTCTTATTCCTTCAAATCTTACAATCTACAGCACTACAGCAAGGCCTCAAGATTTGGAGAAGGCAATTGATTAATGAACATCACAGGCTATGTATGCAATTTCATTATGCCTGGAGTTTCACTTGTGTTAGGCAGGGTACTCCGTACAATATCAGCGGATAGATATTGTCCACTACCTGTTCATTGTACATGTACCCCACTACCAGGAAAAATACTCTTGTATTTCATTCCCCAGCAAAATGGCAGAACACACAATACCTGTGTGTTCCCAACTTGATCTACACATTCGGGGTAAACAGGACGAAAAATGGAATAAAGAGGAGGAAGAAACAGAGAAAGTAGAGGTGAAAATGTAGAAACCGGAAAATAACTGAGAAACCAAATTGAAGCGCTGTTTATCTGGAAAATAGGCGCGCATGGGATCGCTCAACTAATATCTACAGCCTTGAGCCCTGTTGAATACTATTTCCCTATGATATTCAGGCCCGTTGCGACACTCCAACTCTATACACATAAACCGATGAGAGAGATACACGAATGACAGGAACATCTAAACCGCGGACACATGCACCCCCTATACCAAATGAGAAATAATAACTATACCTCGAGCAGCAGCTCATTTGGTGACACTAAAGCACTTCAAACTTCCCACACCCCAATCGATTACTTGCTCTTGCGTGATATATCAGCATGATGAGGATATGTCAGAATCTTATTCAGGAACCGACGCTCATCGAAACGGAAGCTAACGTTACCTATAAACTAGATCGCGCATATGCGGATGATTAATTATTGAGGAGTTGAATGAATCATCAAATCTCATTCCCGGTATCCCCCACAGCCATTTCTCATTTTTCCACAGGTAACTTAACAATCGATATAACCATCTACACACAAGAACGAATACATCTCAGAAAACCGAATATAAAAATCCAGTGTCTCATATTTCCATGACATTCTCTCCCTCTCTTCCCCCCGCTTGTCGGCTGCCTCGGCCGCGGTTTCTCGTTGGTTACAGCGCCGGCTATGACGCCATAGCCCTAACCCGCCCGATCTAGATTTCCCGCCGGCCGTCGCTGGCCGATTTGGCCTTGAATTTGCATCTCTTAACTATTATATATAAATAAATAATTATAACATGACTCTTAACTTATCTATATAAATTATATCACTGTATATTCCCCAGATATTTCCCGTAAACTGCAAAATAAGAAGATCTTGGCCCATCAGTCCTACCTTTAACTTATCTTATCATACCTATAAACCTGCTAGGGATCTCTTATACAATCTGCGCCTGCGATTCGATCCTAAAAAAGAAACCCACTTTTGATCCTCCCCTCGCCTCCATAATACTCCCGTTCTCAGCAGCACACCCCAGAGAGTCTAAGAATCCAATATGTCGAATCCCCGCGTCCTAGTCCTCGGCGGGCACGGCAAGATAGCCCGCTTCCTAACCCCTCTCCTCCTCAACCGCTCCTGGGACGTAGTCAGCGTAATCCGCAACCCAGACCATACCAACGACATTTTGAAACTGGGTCGGAATAAGAAGGGCAAGGTCGAAGTGCTGGTCTCCAGTCTCGACGATGTGAAGAGTGCCGATGATGCGAAGGCGATCGTGGACCGCGCGAAGCCGGATTATGTGATTTGGGCGGCCGGTATGTTATATATACTGTTTCATTGTTCATATTCCCCTGAATATTTCCAAAAAAAAATAAATAAATAAATAAATAAATAAAAATATAAAAAATAACCATTCCCCTTCCCCCTATGTACACACATATACATCCATCCATCCACCCAACTAACCGCAAAACAAAACCCCTCACAGGCGCCGGCGGCAAAGGCGGACCCCTCCGCACCTACACCATCGACCGCGACGCAGCCAAACACTTCATCACCGCAACCTTCACAAACCCCTCCATCACCAAATTCCTCCTAATCTCCCACATCGGCAGCCGCCGCAAGCAGCCTCCCTGGCTCTCGCCGGAAACCTGGGAGCGCTTCGAGCACATCAATCACGACGTGCTGCCCGATTACTACCACGCCAAGCTGGCCGCTGACGAGTACTTCACCGTCATGGCGCGCAAGCGCGCTGTGATGGATGATGAAGCGGAGAGCGCGGGCGGCGGGGCGGGGAAGAAGCGGTTCCAGGCGATATTACTGCGGCCCGGCCCGTTGATGGATGCGCCTGCGACGTGGAAGGTGGACTTGGGGAAGCCGACGGAGGTTGTCTTGGAAGGAGGCGTGCCGGCGAATGTGAGTCGGGAGGACGTGGCTCTTGTGGCGGATCGGTTGTTGGCGCGGGATGATACGAGGGGTTGGTTGGATTTGTTGGGTGGGGAGGATGAGATTGATGAGGCGGTTGAGATGGTGGTGAGGGATCGGGTGGATGCGGTTGAGGGGGAGGACGTGGATAGGATGTGTGAGGAGATTACGTTGTGAGTTTGGGGATAAATGGGGTTGGGATTTGAGGGTGAGATATAAAAAAAAATCCCCGCTCCCCTTTCTTATCGTTCGATTTAGGTACAGGATTCACTCGGTTTCGCGGTTTATTTATTTATATACTGGATTTTCCTTCTTCTGTGCTTCGATCCTTTGGGTTTTTTCTATACGCTATTGTGTTTAATCTCTCAATTCGTTGTGCTGAGATCGCCTTTCTACTCATAAATAGTTACATTGGAGGTCGTATAAGTATAACTATAGCTAGCTAATATTGATTGTATTATAACTGCTGGATGGTATGTGTTTGTTCCTCCCTGTAGCATCTCTGATGAATCCTGGGAAATATCTTTCTGTGTAATACAATATGTGAAACTATCTGCCAATCTGAAAGTGATACATAAAGACACATCACATTGAAAAGTATATATAAAGCAGGTACTCCATTCACCCATAGAAATGTTCATTAAAAAAAACATAACGTGTCCCAGCCTAGTCGTAAAGTTAAAAGAAAACACAAAAGGATAAAAAGGTAAAAGATGAAGGTAGAGAAAAGTTCGCTCATCATCTCGAAACATGCATAGACAGTGACGCCATACTTCCCAACCATGCTTCAATTGTTTCCATTTTGACCTCCGGTCTGCCAGTCCGCTCCGTTTCGCCTTTGATAAAAGAAGATGCTGCCATGTAGGGAAACGCTTAGGGGGAAAATAGGAAAAGGAAATTCTGGGGGAGGGGGGGTTAATAAAGGGGATGGTGCCTAGAAGCAACCAACATATAATATCTTCTCTTCTTCTTATCTGCTTTTCGTCTTCAGCTTAGCCCCATGTGGGCATCATCACCCAAGCCCCACCCCCTTTCCGCCCTCTCAGCGGCCCCACCAGGCCGATTCCCAAAGCGATCTACAACATTCTCAGCCTCTTCAATTTCTTGGCCGCGGATGCTCCGGCTAAGGCTCTCGCCGTCGGTATCGACTCCGATCAGACTGCTAGGACCGGGCCTGCCACGTCTTCGGGAGGTCAAACTGTTCCTACTGCTACTACTGCCAGTGCCACCAGCATTGTCAAAACTGTTCGCGTAATGGGAGTGGGAGTTGCTGTAGGAGTTGGAGGTGGAGGTGGCACGAACGTTGGGGATATTACCACACGACGATGA